TAAAAGGAAAAGAATTCAAATATTAATCTTGCATTGACAGGTGAATATCTTTTTTAGCCTGCGTCTTCGAACGGGATCCCTCTAAGATAAACAAAAATCAACGCCTATGGATATCTACCAATGCCAAATTTAAAATTCGTTCTTGATTTACTTTCGTAATTCATTGTTACATTGTTTTATAGAAACCCACTTTAAACAAAATAACCGTTTCTGTTTTTTAAGAAGCTACTCAAATAGACGAGAAAATGTACGATTTCACAACACCGCTGACGAAGTAAATCCGATTGCGTACGAGTTTGAAAATCGTTATTTTCACTCTTGCGTACCTATATGGAGAGCGCTCGAGCGAAAGAAGAAATTTCAGGATCTAAACAGCCGAAGATCAATGGAATATGGATTAGTCGAGTCTGATAGTAGAGAGGTGGAGTTTACTGATTTGATACGTTATTTTATACTTGCTATTTTCTTGATATGAGGATGAAGAATATGGTTGCCACCTTTTTGAAAAGTGAATAAAGGACTATGATGCTGATAGGATCAGGTATACTGAACTTCTAAAAGAAATAGGACGACGAGTGTGTAACAAAAAAAGTCCTCGTTCTTCTACTGAGCTACTAAAAAAAGCTTCTCAGCTTGTATATTTTTGTACAAAAGGACATTTTAGCTTTGAAAAGTCGTAAGGACATTTTACTTGAAAAAAGGACTGTCCTTTCCAAAAAGGACAGGAGGCAACCCTAGTAGTTATTAAAAAAAATGTCCAAAATCGTAGTTACACAATAATTATTGCTCTATTTAAATGACATGTTGGATTTATTTTTGACGCCAATATAGTTACATATTAAGGACACATCTCGTTTATGGGTCTTTATCAGTTATGGCTTATGTAATCTACTATTCAATTAAACTATTAAATTCCGCACTTTTATTTAACTTCTAAAACTAGAACTAGAAGTAAAACACCCAAATCCAAAAACCAAACAATTATATTAACGTAACAAGAGAACTAACAATAATTATATCGAAAAACAAATCTTAATTTTAGTGTTAACTTCCCGAAGAATTCCTACGATCACCAAATATGGTAAGCATAAATCCTTTTTTGTCGATGATTAGAGGATTCTGAGAATTATTATTTATCGTTCGCCGCAATTTAGTCGTCCCTACTCATAGGCGTAGATATTGCAAGGTACACTTAGAAAAACATTTTTCTTTGTTTTAAAAAAGGCATCAAAAATTTCAAAAAAAAAATTTAAATAACGTTATAAATAATTTTAATTAGGTAGGTACTAATTACTTACTGTTGTCGCTAGATATAAATGTGCGAAATAGCCTTTTAATATAATTTTTTACATCAGATAAAACAAAACCATAAAATCTTATAATAGTCGAGGCATTAAATCAAAAAAGTTCGGAATTTTTTAGACTAAGACGGATCGTAATGCGGTTTCTTGCATTCGCTTCCAAAAGTTTTTTGGAAAAATATCCCTACTTTTTATCTTATAAAAACCTTTAAATTGCATTGTTGTAGCCAAAAATGCATTTTTTGAGACGGCTTCTGGAAGATTAAAGAACCCTGTAAATAAGAGTCAGAACTGGCCCATATCGAATTCCCGAAGGTTTTCGAGGTCGCTGATCACGATTATGATGTTCAAATTGACCCACAGCCGACCTGGAGCTCAGGAACGCCGATGAACGTCAACTCCGTGGGACTCTCCCGAAATTCACGCAGGGACGGAGAGACACTCGACGCACGAAGGTTTTTTGGATCGTTGAATTCAAATATGACATCGGCAAACACTCCCCTGACACCTAGTGCGCCGAAACCTGGACGTGGACGTCATCCTCGATAAATGTCCTGACAAGATCGCCAAAAACAATCCGAAAATAATTGTGGGGGCATTTTTTGGGGCGCTGAACCAAATTTCACGTCGAAAACGACCCCCTGAACACCTGGTGCACTGGAACCTGGACGCAGACCGCATCTCCGTGAGTGTTCCTCACTAAATCGAAAAAGACGAACCAAAACAAGAATTACTCGAACGCGTACGAAAACGTAAACACGAACATAGTGCTGGATACGATGAGATCTCCATGAATTTAATTAAAGCTATTATAGATATTATAGACAGGCAACCATCTTTGTCATATTATCAACAACTCCATGAAAATTGGCATTTTTTCCGATAGCCTAAAAGTTTCACTTATAGTCCCTATTTATAAAAAAGGTGATGACTCTAAAATGGATTAGTTCATATCTGGATCAGAGAATACAAAGAGTTAAATTAAAAAATGGTCAAAAACAAATTATATCTGATGATAAATATGTAGGTCTAGGAATTCCACAGGGAAGCGTACTGGGACCAATTCTATTTGTGCTATATATCAATAATATAAAGAAAATAAGTGAAAATGTGGACTGGTGCACTATAACAACTTATACCGATGACACGAATATACTGGTTAAAAGTGGTACAACGATGCAGTTGGAGCAAAGAGCAAGCCATATTCTTGAAGTGGGAAATGAGTGGTTTACAAAAAATAAATTGATTATAAATAGGGAAAAGACAAATCTACTACTTTTTAAAAATAAATGGTCGCGAATTGCTGAACCACAAAGTTTCATATTACATGATGTTTTACTGGCTCCATAGAAAAGTGTCAAATTTCTTGGAATGGTGTTGGATAACAACATGTCTTGGTCTGATCATGAGGAGTACACACGACAAAAACTTGGTAGAGCGACATATAGTCTTAGAGTATTAAAGAAATATCTAGATTTTTCAACCTTAAAAAGGGTATATCATTATACATAGTGCCGTCTTACCATACGGGCCCCGCTGTTTTCGGGGCCCCAGCAACAAAAACCAATGTAATGAGTATAATAATTAATATAAAGAAAGAGAAGCAACTAAACGTACATATCTCAGGGGAGCCGAGAAAAGAAAAAATCAAATCTGCAAAAAGAAGCCATTAATAAATTTCCAAAACTTACATTTATTCATTATCAACATCCTCGATAGAATATCAGAGTCAAGGAAAAAATTCAAAACTCTCTGTCGCAACTTCAACCGCTGTTGATGTTCTAGTGAGTTCTTCGAAAACTCTGCAGCTAGATTTTCCCAATCTTATTTTAAAAAAACCAAGTATGATAACAGCTAGCAATAATAGGACAAGAAGAAGACAAAACAGAAGAATTTCTCTTAAGTGATCCTGGCGATTGGCCGCTTGTTTTCAACGAAAAAACTCGTTTGTTCTTTATAAGAGACCTGATTTTTTTCAGAATAAGGACAGTGATTTTTCAAAATCTTTTAGACCCTACAAGGAAATAAACGACAACATAAAAATGCGAACTCTATCAAAGTCAGTTTTCATTCATACACTAAAGAATGGCGAGAAGGTAGCAGAAAATGGTTACTCTATTCTCCTGCAAAAAATGCGTTATTTTGTTTTACAAGTAGAATATTTTCTTCCACTGAAACCAAATTTAGTGGAAGTACATTTAAGCACCCGGTCACCGAGTATCTCTCCTTCCCTGCGTGAATTTTGGGAGAGAACCACGGAGATGACGTTCAGGGCCATGCTCCGGTGAACCAGGTGTTAGGGGGGCCGTTTTCGACGGGAAATTCGGATTCAGCGCACCAAAAAACCCCCCATAACGATTTTCGGTTCGTCTTTTTCGATGTGCGAGGAAAACTCACGGAGATGAGGACCGCGCCCAGGTTCCGGTGCACCAGGCGTTCAGGGGATCGTTTTCGACTTGTAATTTGGATTAAGCGCCCAAAAAACACCCATACAATGATTTTCGGGTTGTTTTTGGCGATCTTGTCAGGAAAATTCTCGGAGATGACGCTCACATCCAGGTTCGGGCGCACCAGGTGTCGGGAGGGGGGTGTTTGCCGATGCCACATTTAAATTCAGCACCCCAAAACAACCCAATAACGATTTTCGGTTCGTTTTTTTCGATTGTGTAAGGAAAACTCACGAAGATGAGGTCCGCGTCCAGGTTTCGGTGCACCAGGTATTCAGGGGGTCGTTTTGGGCGTGAAATTTGGATTCAGCGCCCCAAAAAACGCCCCCACAATGATTTTCGGGTTGTTTTTGGCGCACTTCTCAGAAAAATTTTCGGGGATGACGTCCACGTCCAGGTTCCGGCACACCAGGTATCCGGGAGGTGCTCGCCGATGCCACATTTGAATTCAGCGACCCAAAAAACCCGGATGCCGAGTTTCTCTCCTTCCCGCATGATTTTCTGGAGAAGTCCCACGGAGATAACGTTCATCGGCATTCCTGAGCTCCAGGTCGGCTATGGGTCAATTTGAACATCATAATTGTGATCAGCGACCTCGAAAACCCCCATCAACCCGATTTGGACCAGTTCTGACTCTTATTTACAAAATTCTTTAATCTTCCAAAAGCCCGTCTCAAAAAATGCATTTTTGGCTGCAGCAATGCAATTATCGGTTTGTATGAGATAAAAAGTAGGGAATTTTTTTCCAAAAAAATTTTGGGAAGCTAATGCAAAAAACCGAATTCCGATCGATCTTAGTCTAAAAAACTCCGAACTTTTGGCCTTTTTTGTACTTCATTGCCTCGACTATAATGAATACCAGGAATTAAAATATTCCATTCTACACAGATTAACTATCACCATCTAGTTTACATTTTTACGTTTTATAAAAACAAATTACAGTTTTCTATCTATAAATCTTTAATATTCCAAATTTTGCTTAAAGATGACGGCACTAATTCACAAAAAACTTTATAAAATAGTATTAAAAGTATTATAGAAATGCAAAATAAAGTTAAACAAGATATCTTGATTGGTAATATTTAAAAAAACGTTGTAAATTTCTGATAAAACTAAAAAGTCATTGTTTGTAACAATATTTTTAAATAAACTGACCAGACCGCCATCTATTAGACATGTGTGTATTAGGTAAAAATAAATTGCACATTTCTATTTTAACGTTATAATTTCCTCATATAGATGGCAGCAGCACCAAAAGTCAATGTCAAATCCAATCTAAAAAGTTACTGTTTTCGACATGTAAACAAAGGTTAACAAAACAATAATAAAAATGCAGAAAGAAGTTGATCAAGCTATTATAATTGATACTATTCAGAAGAACATTATAAATTTCTGTAAAGGTTTATCACCGCATGTGGAAAAATGTGTTAATTTGTTAGATGAAACTACAAAACCAGTGCAGGCTTTAGGAAATTATTCCGAACAGTTAAGACACGTGGAACGGTGAGTACTGAGTAATTTGTGTTGCCTGACAATAGGCGTAGTATTGGTACATTTTTACAATTTATTTATTTGCAATATTTACATTTAAATTTGCAAATATCTTATTAATATGTAAAATCTTAATAAATTAAAATAAATTTACATTTACAACTTTATCAGAATGAATGGATTATTATTAATTTTGTATGTTTTTCAGGGCAAACATTAAATACATAGATGGATTTAAATCACTTCAAGAGTCGCTTATGTTTAAAATATGTTCAGAAATTGAAGACGAATTGGTTTTAATAAAAGGACTTTTGTAAGTAATATTTTCAAAAAATAAAAAATACTGAATTACTTGTCTATACAGGGTGGGCCACCAGTATCGCTGTGAACTTAGCCACCAATTTTTAGTGACTAATTTTCCGAAAATTGCCGAACTGTCAGTGGCGTCGTAAATATTTTAGGAGGCATTCAAAAAACTGCATGCATCTACCACTAAGATTTGCAAATAAAATAATTAATTTAACAATATACCACTTTATTATTTTAAACTTGGTAGGGTACAAAAGAGAAAATAGTCGCATTCAAATATATTGGTTCCTAGACATAAAACCATAAATATTTTCTAGTGTAAGATAGGAAAATATAACACTTTTAATAAATGTTAAAGAGAATGACTTCCAGGATAAAATACGCTGTTTATCAACCTCAAAGGGAAAATAGTTGCAATAAAATATCTCTGTTCCTAGACATAAAAACATATTTATTTTCTAATACAAGTTAGGTACAAATACCACAGCGAGATGTATATCAGAAAAGGCCACAATTTAAAAATATTTTTATTTATACAGGGTTATCCAGGAGAGTGATACCTACATATCAAATATAAGTTGTTTAAATGGGATACCATATTTAATTTTATATTTGAATTGCCCTCGCTTTTCATACTAAGTATAACAATACCAAATAGTATGGCAGTATACAGGGTATAACCACCCAACAAACATTTTGTGTAATACCAAATAGTATGGCAGTATACAGGGTATAACCACCCAACAAACATTTTGTGTAAGGGAATAAAAGAACCAATAACTGTTACTCTTCAATAATTGTAATGATGGCAATAATTGTAATAAATAATAATTATAAGCCCGGCATATACAGTGTTATTCAAAATTAAGTGCAAATATTTTAAGGGCGTATTTACCAGCCAAAAATAAAAAAAACATTTCATATACTCGTATTTCCTAACTTGCTTCACTTTTTTTTCTTTTAAATGGTGTTTTATCAATTACTCAAAAACCTTTCAGTCGACTTAAATAAAAATTGATAGGCTTATTTGTCGTCATAAGGGCCTTCCTTTGGTGAGAATGAAAAAAACTGTTAATTCCAGTGTCGTCTCAGGGGGCTACCTACTTATTACTTATAAATAAAATTATGATACGGCACTGTGGTCGGGTTACAAACTGTTTGCCTCGGAATAAAAAGTCTCACTTCAGTCCCTTGATTGAAAATATGTTAAATAAATCATTTTTGATAAAATTTTTCTTACAGAAATCGATTGAATGTAGCAAATCAAGACATGAAAAACAAATTAGTAATTTTAGAAAAGTCAACGGCGGATTTAGACTGGGAAGCAGAAAGCGATCTTGTAACAGGGTCGGCCTTTCAGCCACCTTTATCTAGAATTCTACAAGATGGTTACGAATTCGTAAGGCATTTTTGCGATATCTACAAATCGATTAGTGATAGTTTTAAAACTTTAAAAGTGAGAAACGAGGAATCTATGAAAGATTTTGAAAATAAGTTCAAAGTGAAGGTTAGGAATAAACTTGTTACTGGATATTTAGCTGTACTTCAGTATGTGTATTAATTTTTTAAATAAATATTTTAAAAAATATATTGGTTTTATTTAAGGCAGCAGTTAAATAATTGTAAACTATAGATAGATAATCTATAGTCACAATTAATTACAGTCATAATTGTTGGTCTAGAGATTTTGAATAAGTAATAAGGAAAATACTAAATTTTTCGACAGATTTGTTTTGTGGCCCCCTCAGTGGCGGCTCGTGGTAATCCTGCAAGATTATGCCTTCCTCCCCCCAAAAATAAATTAATATTATACAAATTCGCTCTTAATATTGAAAAACGCTTTGGTTCTTTTCAATCTGCATTAAATAAAGACCTTGAAGCTGCTGTTGTGGACCATATTCTGGACTTAGAATCAAGATTTTTTGGGTTGACGGCAATGGATGTGCGAAAACTGGCGTTTAATAATAATAAAAGGATGGCTGGAATGGGGTGGCTTCACGCTTTTGGTTATCGTAATCCTCAGTTATCATTACGTCTTCCAGAAGCCACGTCGCTTGCCAGAGCCGAGGCGTATCCAAGGCATAGACGCGCCCCTCGTTATACAAAATCAGCCAATCGCTATCAAAAGCGAGGTAAAATATCTGGGTTTTCGGCTGGACCAAAAATTCGGGTATTCTGAGGTCTTTGTACCTATTAATGAATAAACGAAGCAGGCTGTATCTGTCAAACAAACTTTTACTATATAAAACAATATTCAGGCCAATTTTAACGTATGGTTGTCCAGTGTACTGCTCTATGGCTAATTCCTACTTTAAATCCCTGCAAAGGGCACAAAACAGATGTCTGAGGCTAGCTCTTCGTTACGATCGCTACGCTAGAATACAAGACATTCACGAGACGACAAATATGCCAATGATTAAAGACCTTATTATCAATACAGCAGAAAACTTCTACGCGTGATGCCTCCCGGAGGATGAGATGGATAGCATCATTCAAATCCACCAGAGAGACGGCGTGCGTAGAAAACACGGTTGCGTACATCAAAATCTTGGTATATATCGACGACAGCAACAGGACCCACGACAATCCAAACAATACTAAACAATAATTCACACGGACTGGATATTTACGAAATCTAGTCCGACGGAGGACTGAACTATCAACCGACCAGCAGGGCCGCGCGCGAGAGCGATTTTTGATTTGAATCTTCATGCACTAAACTACCACAAGACGCACTTACATACAAGGACAACCCTGTTTTTTACTAACAGACAAAATTAAAATCATACAAAAACTCAGAACTATACCATTATCGTCTCCAGTAAGCTCACTAAAATTGACTTATGATGTTGTTTCTCAAAAAGGAGAAGTCAAAATAACCATAATTTAAAAATAATAACCTTTATCTACGCGACCTTAACATCGGTCGTGGTCTTGCTTGTAGGCCACCCTAAAGAGAACACTTCTCTTGAAGACAATGAGAAGAAATCCTTTTATATTATGTAAATAAAATGTTATTATACCAAATTACATGTATATATTTTAAATAAAGACCTTTTGAACTGAACTGAGCGATTTTTGCTCCTCGATTGCGGCACTTCCCGGTGGTTTATAGTCTCAGTGAATTATGACAAAAAAACCATAGACAAGTACAAGACTTTATACCACAAACGACAACCCCTGTTTTTTACTAGCTTTTTCAGGGGACAATACGAAATTAAGACTCGACAAATCTATTTATACGCAGAATTACCGATTCAAATCCTTCCAAATCCCTAAATAATACCCCAAAGGTAAGGAGCAAGGGCGGCTATTTTTTAGATATCACATCATGACGGAAATACACGGCATATCACAGGCGGGAAACCGTCTTAGGCCTCAGAGGTTTACCACTAGGGCCACTTATTGTACCGCGTACAATTAGTTTTTAAGTTTTATGTTGATGTATTGTAACAAAAATATTTTAAAACAGGTGAATAAAGATTTTAAATGAAATGAAAAATGAGTTCTGGGGGAATCTATGTACCGCCATCCATAATTTTTCCGCGAAAAAAGTTCAATCCGGACTTATACGATGGAGCACCAATTGGAACCTTAAAACTTTATAACGACACGGGTTACATGACGGGAGATTTGTTCGTAACGTGGATGAAACACTATAGATCACGTTTCATGTTTTGTCCATTCATATTTATATTTATTTAATGAATCATATACTGGAGTTGATTTTGGAAATATTGGTACATACTTAAATAAGTACTATTTCTAAAAATTTGTCTATGCCCAGACAGCACACATAGTCCAATGGATGTACATTTTAGATCCATTGAGGGTCAGGACGTCCATATCCGGGCATCCAGTTTACGTCTGTTTATGCTAATTAATATGACAGCTGAATATCGATACCCAGAGAACGTCTGTTTTTGGACTTAATTTTAAGTTTAGTAGTATTTTGACGTCCAGTGGAAGTCCATCGTAGGTCATTATTTATTAAGCCTACCAGATAATTCCCATCTATATACACTTTCTTTTTTTTAATATAATTGGTCATTAAAAATTGACAAATGAATCTATTGCATTTCATTCTATCAGCGAAAGTTTGAAATCTTATTCCATTATAACTATATCTAGTAAAAAGTTTTCAAGTGGTTCCTTGGTCGAGCCATCTAGCGATTAAAAGCGTAAGATGATAATGGATGTGTCGTGAGTTCGATGCCTGCTCAGGTCAAGCGATCTTTTATTAAAAATAAATTAAAAAAAATGGTGTATAGCGGTTTGCAAAAATAATAAACAAATTATTAATAATATAAAATACTGTGTGGTGAGTTGCGGTTTTGTAAAAAAAGTGGGGATGTGGTCTCAATGGAAATATCCTGGACGTTTTTTGAATGCCCAGTATTCGACGTCCAAAAATATTCCAAAATTGGACGTCCTCTGAATGGTCAAAAGTGTGCCATTTTTACACTTCACTGGACATCTGTCGGAAGTCCAGAAAAAACTAATTTTTGGACGTTCAGACATCCAAAATTGTATATCGAATGGACGTCCAATGGTATTTAACTCTAAATACATAAACCTTAAATGACATCTAGCTTATCTTTGCGAGTCCTTTTAATAAAATATAAATCCAGAAATTCTAAAAATATGTAAGTACTTTTTAAACCTAAAAGCTTTGAAAATATATGCACATTGCACATATTTAGTTAAACCTCTTAAACTTAATGTCTTTTTAATTGTTACCTAATTTTTTTTTGAACCCTTAATTTTATTTACCTTATTTTTACTTAAGGAAAAGGTAATTTAATTTAAATATGGAGGAGCTTTTATTACATTTTTAACAATAAATAAACCAAATATTGAACAAATTTTATAGATGAGTTATAAAATAATAAACATATTTTACTTTTATAACAAATAATTATTTATTACATAATGAATTATATTTTGGTGCCAAAATGTCACCATTGCTATTAACCCTAACTACTTCAATGTAATTAAATTACATTACAACATTTGCGCATGGACTATAACAATGATTTCCGATAATTTGCCAAACTATTTCGCTCAGTGTAGAAAGTAAGCATGTTTTCTCAGCGTGTTAAGTTGTGTATTAATCAAAGTCATGTTGTGAAAAAGGTCCATCTGATATCAAAGGCACCGCTTCTCCTTGATCGGTATTCTCGGGTTATAAAGTCGATGTGGGTATAATAATTTGGTCGAGATTACTTTATTAAAAACAAGGACAATTTTCTTGTATTCTAAATAAATAAAAAAAAAATGAAACTTGTGACCAACATAACCAAGGAACTTTCTATTTTTATACTTAATTTGTATATATCTTTAGAAACAATTCGACTAAGTAATAATTGACTTATTTTCCCATCGTTGTCATTAGTAACAATTACAGCACGATGTAAAACAAAAAGACGGGGTTTCAGCTATTTTAAAATGTTTGTAATCGTCCCCATATTTTATTAAATGTTGACTGGCACCAGAAGGTGGAACACTGTTTCCAAAACATAATATGTAGTGCCTGTACTTAAATTTTATAAAAACAATGAACTTTTTATTTATATTAAATTCTACTACGGTCCTTTTTCAAATTAGTAATAACGTGTATCTATAAATAAAAATTATATTACTCCTTTTTTTTAAACGAATAAAAAATGTAATTTCGTAGCTTTCCATAACTCTTTGTCTGTTTTATATAATAAAATTGTCATTAATCTAAAAAGTATAGAGCCGTTATGTAAGGCAAAATGTGCTTTCTGAGTTTTAGGGCATACGTAACGTATTAAAAGGGCGCCGACGCTGTTATCGATTGTCCGTCGCGACGCGGCGTGAGTTTGTGAGTGTGCCGAGCGACGGTAAGGACGTTTTTTCCGTCCTCGCAATCGACAGGTACGTCAATTTATTACCTCTATTGAATATTAATTTCAAGTGCCCGCAAACTGAGTACAACTTTCAACGAGAATGTAGAGTAGTTGATCTCATTTCAAACGTTCTGATGGAATCTGCGAATTTAATTTATTAGAATTTGTCTTATTGATGTCCGTTATCAGATTCGGAATCACACTCTGTTTTTTTTAATTTAATATCACCATTGATTTTGTTATATTAACTCAGCAAATTTAGTTAAATGATAAAGCAGTGTTGAAGTAAAACAATGTTGATCTAAAACAACTGTTGAAAATCAATACAATTTTTTGAAACAATACTGTTGATTCCTGATATATGATTGGATCAGATTTATACGGTTTATTTAGTTCAGTGTAGAAATGGTTTTAAATCTGGCATTCCTTGGACTTTTGAGAAATAAATCTAACAATCATTGTTTCTAATTTTTTTTACTCTATTGCCCAGTAGAATAAATGTAATTATATGACAAAGTAGCATTTTATATAAAAATAAAGAATATATATTAAATTTATTAAAAAAAATAATCTTAATCATGAAAGACAAAAATATTTATTTATTCATAGTAAATAAAAAAAAATAAATAAATAAAAATAATATAGCTGGGTACGTTTAAAATATTAATAATTACAAATAAGATTTTTTTAGATAGGTGAAAGCTTTTCAAAAACACCAGAAATAGACAAAATAAGGTAGAACAAGATCAAATTATTTAATTATTAGATAATTTTAACTCGATAAATTTTAATTTTTTTTATTTAACCAATCTATAACGAGGCAAATACAAATTTTCAGCATACTATGTTTTAAGTCAGTCTGCAATAGTAGACATATTTTGCTTTCGAGTATATAATTCAGTTAGTGTTTGGTGTAAATATACAGGGTGTCCCTAAAAGGTGTGTTAAAAACGCTAGTACAAGTACATTAGGCTAAAATATCTAGGCAATTTACCTTAGTCAAATAGTTGATAGTTTCCAAATACAGATTGTCAAAGTCATATTTTTTATACTTTTTTGTAAATATTTATCTTAATAATAGCATGATTTACACGAAATTTGGTAATTGACGGGTTTTTAGGATGAGAAATCTGGAGACAATTTTGTTATGCACTGGTGGGATTCTATCCTGAGATCTTTCAATCTAAAAATCATGATCTAACAACTGAGCCAATCCACACCTTTATTGCTTTTTATGACTTTTCAATGCATTTGCATTGTTTTTTATTGCTTTTTATTGTTTCTTTTTATTGCTTTTATATTGCTTTTATTGCTTTCTATTACTTTTTATGATCTTTTATTGATTTTACTGCTTTTCATTGCTTTTTATTGATTTTTTATTGCTGTTTATAGATTTTATTGCTTTTTGTTGCTTTTGCATTGTTTTTTTTGTTTTTTATTGCTTATCATTTCTTTTTTTATTGCTTTTTACTGCTTTTATTGCTGTTTTATCGCTTTCTCCTTTTTATGGCCATTTATTGATCTTTATAGCTTTTTAGTTGCTTTTTTATTGATTTTTTTTATTGATTTTTTTTTATTGATTTTTTATTGATTTTATTGCTTTTTATATAGTTTTTATTACTTTTTATTGATTTTTTATTGTATATTATGTTTTTTATTGCTTTTTATGTTTTTATTACATTTTATTGCTTTTTTATTGCTTTTTATGACCTTTCATTGCTTTTGCATTGCTTTTTATTGCCTTTTATTGCTTTTTTATTATTATTTATGACTTTTTATTGCTTTTTATTACTTTTATTGCTTTTTATAGCTTTTATTGCTTTTTATAGCTTTTATTGCTTTTTTTATCGCTTTCTATTACTTTTTATGACCTTTTATTGATTTTTACTGCTTTTTTTTTTTTTATTGATTTTTATTGCTTTTTATATTATTTTCATTACTTTTTAATTGTTGTATTACTTTTTATCGCTTTTTATTGATTTTTATTACTTTTTATTGTTTTTTTTATTGCTTATTATGTTTTTTATTGCTTTTTTATTACTTTTTATTGCTCTTTATTGCTTTTATTACTTTTATTGCATTTTATTGCTTTATTGCTTTTAAATGCTTTTTATACACTGCAGAGGGCGCCACTAGAAGCACGTTGCCTGTAACTACAGCTTCATAATTTTTTCGTATAATAAATTTATAGTTACAAATTCTGATTCCTTGACATCATTTATCTAAAAAAGAGCTTAAGCCAGACACACGTACCTGACAAATTACAAATATTTGAGGTTATTTGACCATTCTGATAAGAAAGATTTTTTATTTATAAAAAGTAAGCAAAATCCCAGTAATATTTATCCTGCATCCCAAAAAGTCACCTTAATTCTACACTGTAACATTTTTAAAGAGGATTATTAGCAAAAACCTTTTAATCCACAAGCTAAAAATTAAATCAAACTTATTTTTAACTAATTTACTTTAAGAATAGGAGTCGCTACGAGCATACGTTTCTGACTGACAAAAATTTACAAAACAAAAATGTACAGAACAGAAAGTAAATCAGAATGACCTCCATTTTCACGTACCTATACAAATATTAACTCTACGAAAACGAAACTGCACCCTCTACAACATTATGCATTAAACCCTAAAATATTTACTAAATTTTGTTTCTTGGATGTTTAAAAGTATATAGTGTACCATATTTTCAACAGTTCCCATTAAAAAGTAATCTGCGGGCGTTAAATCCGGTAAACGAGGTGGCCTATTTGCACATTTCCCTGCCGATGCATCGATTTTGAAAATTAATGCATGTTGTCAAAGTTTTAGTAATTCTAGTGAAATCAGAAATAACGGGAGTTAAAACAAAAGAGTCACATAGATTGCATAAGATTCTGTGATTCATTATTTTTATCAGCATATGGTTATATTTGCTCCGTGACAGATCCCTCAAAACCAGCTACAAATTTTATAAGAAAATTTGAATACTACCAAAGGTGGCATACAATATCAATGATTTTTATGTTGGGAATTTTAATTGCACAAAATTTTGCATGAATCTTGTCGTAGAAATTTGTTTAATAAGAAAATTCAAAAATATAATTATTCCACCCCTGATGCGAGTATTATATTTTGATAACGCACAGTATAATATTTATATTACAATCTGTAAGAAATATAATTCATCTACCTTATTTGCAAATCTCTATACATTCAAATGAAACAAATGTGTATTACTTTTCTGTAACGTATAGTTTTAGAACATAACATGGTCCTTCGAACCTACAATATTTTTCCGAGTTTTCTGAAATGCAAGCATTTTTTTCAGATCAACATGGCAACCTCCGCAAAATCAGCCACCATAATCTAGGATTGGGATGTTATTATACCTAGTGCCCAACTGACAAACGAAATACGACAGCCATGGCGAACACGGCCCATCTCGTTCGCAGACAGAGCTCTCGCGACTTAAACCCCCAACGATCCCTAGACCGTCTGGAACTTCGCGAGATGAGGGGTCGTCTGGTCGTTGAAAACGGAAGTACTGGAGGACCGTACGGAGCCACCAATGCGGCTTTTATCGAAGAGTCCAGTCCTGGTAGTAAAGTCAGGTCGACTTGCAGCAGTAAGAGGTATGCTATTTGCCTTTTATTGTTATTTTTTTAATTTATTGTCATCGGAATCAACTACTTCGGTTATTAGCCACGTGTTCTGTTTAGGCTTTGTTACTGTTTCCCAGCGCGACTTAAGGAATAGCACTGATAATTAGAATCCAACAGTGAATGGTCAAGTGGGGAGTCCTATCTATGCATTAAAATTAATATTTATTTTTTATTAGATAAAAATTCCTGCCACCGGTGGGATTCTATCCTGAGACCTTTCGATCTAAAAATCATGACTCTAACCACTGAGTCAACCCTCCCCTTTATTGCTTCTTATTACTTTTTATTGCTTTTTATGACTTTTTTATTGCTTTTTTTATTGCTGTTTATCGCTTTTTATTACTTTTATGACCTTTTATTGATTTTTACTGTTTATTATCGTTTTTTTATGATTTTTATTGCTTTTTTGATTTTCATTTCTTTTTTATATTGCTTTTTATTATTACTTTTTTTATTTCTTTTTTATTAATTTTTTATTGCTTTTATTGCTTTCTTTATTGCATTTTTATTGCCTTTTTGTTGCTTTTTATTGCTTTTTAATTGCTTTGTATGGATTTTTTATCGTTTTTATCGTTTTTCTTATCTTTTTATTGCTTTTTTGCTGTTTTTAATTGTATCTTATTGCCTTTTTATTGCTTTGTATTGCTTTTTATCGCTTTTATCGTTTTTTTAATTAATTTTCTTGCTTTTTTGTTGTTATTGTTTTTTATTGCTTTTTAATTGCTTTTTATAACTTTATCGTTTTTTATCGCTTTTAGTTGCTTTTTATCGCTTTTTGTTAATTTTATGCTCCCTTATTGCTTTTTACCTCTTTTTATTGTTTTTATTGCTTTTTATTCTTTTTTTTATTGCTCTTATCGCTTTTTATTACTTTTATGACCTTTTATTGCTTTTTATCGGTTTTTATCGTTTTTTTATGGTTTTTATTGCTTTTTTGTTTTTCATTGCTTTTTTTATTGCTTTTTTATTTCATTTCTTTATTGCTTTTATTGCTTTCTTTTTGCTTTTTTATTGCTTCTCTTATTGCTTTGTATTGCTTTTTATAGCTTTTTATCGCTTTTATTGCTTTTTATTGTTTTTAAATTGTTTTTTATTGCTTTTGAATTGCTTTATAAAACTTGTTATCGCTTTATCGATTTTATTTGCTTTTTATTGCTTTTTGTTACTTTTATGCTCTTTTATTGCTTTCAATCGCTTTTTATTGTTTTTATTACTTTTAAATTGATTTTAAATTACTTTTTATTTTGCTTTCTTACATTTTTTATTGTTTTCTTATTGCTTTGTATATCTTTTTTATATTACCTTTTTTATTGTTTTTTATTCATTTTTTATTGCTTTTTTATTGCTTTTCTTATTGCTTTCTATTGCTTTTTATTGCTTTGTATCGCTTTTATTGCTTTTTTAATTACTTTTATTGCTTTTGAATTGATTTGTATAACTTGTTATCGCTTTATCGCTTCATATCGATTTTATTTGTTTTTAATCGCTTTTTGTTACTTTTATGCTCTTTTATTGCTTTCAATCGCTTTTTGTTGTTTTTATTGCTTTTATCTTGCTTTTTATTTTGCTTTTCATTGCTTTTTTATTGTTTTTATCGATTTTTTAATACTTTTACGACCCTTTATTGATTTTTACTGGTTTTTATCGCTTTTTATTGTTTTTTTACATTTTTTATTGTTTTCTTATTCTTTGTAGGGCTTTTTATTGCTTTTCTTGCTTTTTATTGCTATTCTTATTAATTTTTTAATTTTTTTTTGCTGTTTTTATTGTTTCTTATTGCTTTTTAATTGCTTTATATTACTTTTTAGAGCTTTTCTTCCTTTTTTAAATTACTTTTATTTTTTACTGCTTTTTTATTGATTTTTAACATATACCTGTCTGTATACAGAATTATTTTCTTCATAACGATTCATTTCATCCTCTTGAAACTCCTATAGCAGGGTAGTAGGAAAATAAAATGTTCCAGAAAATGTAAACAAAACTGATTAAAAAAGTCACTATTAAATTAAAAAAAAGCATTATTTTCTTTATAACGATCTATTTTGTTGAAATTAGACAGCTTTAGAATATATCTACTTAAAAATAAAATGTCCTTCAGAAGGCGCAACGCTAGGCTTGAATCGCCAATAGCGACGCAGTGAAACACGATTGGTTAAAAAAAGGTTTTATATATTGTTAATAATAGGCACTGTAGAAAATATAAGTACATCAATAACCAATTAAGTTCTTCAATAAAATAATTAGTATGATTTTCGTTGTTTATAATCTTCGTCGAAAATTCTGAGCCATTCTTCTTCTTCAGAATGTGGATTTAGTACGTTTTTAATCAAATTGGTATTCCGATCAAATTTTAAATCTGGTCCATCTACAATTTTTTCTTATTTATCAAATAATGTAATAATTAAACAGAAATCATAATCATTCCAAATAAATTTTGCACCAGATTAAACTTCTGTATATTCATTATCTCTTGACCAGTGATGCTAAAGAGAATAAAAAAATCTTACCTGCACAATCAGTCGCACTAATATAATCAAGCTCCAAGCTTTTAAACAAGTGTGGTCCGTTTTCCAAAATGTATCCCAATTTTTTAAAAAAGCTCGAGTTTACTTCCGAGGTCAGGGCTGCAATTTGTGACGAGTTGTGCTCCATCGTAGCTACTTTTTCTGCCCAATTTATCAGCTGAACGCCTAGCTCCTGATTCTCTCCTTTTCTGTCGTACGGATTTATCAAAGGAAGCGTATGTTCGTAAATGCGAAGTTCTTTGATTAGAGATGTCTTCTTCGGTACCGATGGATCATCTGAAAATGATTCGTAATATTTAGCAAAAGAGTAATTAGAAAATGATTTATTAGAATCAAAGACATAAACAGAAAACGTTGCAAGAATGCTCAATGTAGGTAGGTATAATAAATATGTCGGTTTAATGCCATGACAAAATATTCAATCTTAACAATAACGCATTTATTTTCAAAAGAAAATAAATTATATATTAATATAAGAAACAAAAATATGAATATAAATAAGTTTATAAAAAGGTACAAAAATATATATTCAATTTGGTTATTAATGCATTTTTTTGATAAAAGGGGGGGATGTAATGTATCAATAAGAAGTACCATATTGTACTGAAATAAAATACTAGAGAAGGTGAATTATATACGTAATCAACACTTTTATTTCCTTTAATATTATTTTATGATATTAAAGATGACTGCCAATGATTTAGCTAGAACAATTTACTCAATCCTTGACGATGTAATTTTGTTTTTTAGTTTCGTTGAGGCTATGATTATATCAAATTATATACTATTAAAAACTATATGAGAGTTATCAAAAATGTATCTAGTGTAATTGAAAGATTAAAAAAAAATGTATAAAGATATCAATGTACCACAAATTAAAACCAGAAAAGCTGACGTGACATCCTTTTCCGGATCCTCGTAGCTCAAAAACGTTTCCCATTGTCCTTGAAATATGTAATCTCTCCTTGTCGGCTCTACTTTGATAGATCTTGATAAATTATGTTGCCTTTGTCTATAGTCTGTTACAAGGACTATTTTCTTTCTTCTTTCCACACTTTGAGTGGGCAACAGCTTGCTACTGCTGGCGGTTGAACGAATATTAGACATTAAGATTTAGGAACTAGTAATTTGGCAATATTTTTTAATCTGTCAATAATGACAATATCTGTGGTATTCGTGATTCTTCCCGGTCGTCCTCCCGGTTGTTAAACAGTTGTGGCTACTGGCACTTCGTCCGAGATAATACCACAATATCAAATCATTTATTTCTAATGACTATATAAAATATTGTACATTTATACGTTAATAAGCTTGTATTTTTTGTAGCCTTCTTTGGCACATGTTTTCTTTTTCTCATGTTTTATATCTGTATAAAAAAATTGAAGTTTGCAAATAAAGTTTATTATTATTATTTATTATTAAGTTCATATTAAAATTAGTTGCTGCCCTTGTCTACAGGTTTTTTCTTGGAATGTTTGTTTGAGTTTGTCTTCTAACGTCATTGCAGAACGTTTCATGATAATTGAGTCAAAAATATTGCAATAAAAGAGTATTTTGTGTAGCATTTGTAGTATAATTGTGAAAGTTCTTTCCCAAACTGTAATACAATATCCCAGAATTGATTCAGTTAGTAAATTTTCCTACATAAAATATATCCATTTGTTAGTATTTAAAAACTATTCAATCTATTAAAATTGGTAACAAAACGTTTCGTTTTTGTAAAAACAACTTCAGGTCGATAATTTTAATAATTAATAATTAGTTAAGATCTACATGTCCTTAAGTTTACTGCTCTTTATACTAAAACATCATGTATATATTTTTTTTGGTAGGGTTGCATGTTGAATATGTGCTTAAGTAATCACGCATTTGATACAAAAATAAAAACAGATACAGCATTAAAAAGTTATTTCTATCGTGCATAGGGCTTAATCTATTTTAAAATTATAATGAATTTGAAACGCCGATTGACCCAACAGACCTTGACAATTGCAGATATAATAATAAAGCCTCAGTTATGCAAGTTTTACATCATTAAAAATTGAAAAACATTGTCGTCCTTTTTTGTTACAAATCTCTTTATATTTTACAGAATTAAGCACCCAATCAATTATAAGTCTGGAGGTAATTACTTTGTTCTAAGGTAATTAGGGCCATAGTTATAATAAACTTCAGAATAGCCATTTTCTCTATAAATAGTTGGTAATAAGTTTGCTTGTCCTCGACAGTAGCGCTCTAAGCGCTTGTGGTTGAACTAAACCCATCGTTAATAGTCGATAAAGTAGAGCACTATTAAGTCAAATGATTTAAATAGTGGCGAACTTCAACTTTTACTTGTTACTATAGTCTATTTTTATGTATGAGAGAGTAATAAAACAGCATTTCTCATGCAAAACTTAGTACGGTCATTTTAAATATTTTTACAGAATAATCTAAATATTTCCTAAAATTGTAATAAATGTACCTGAGCTATTACAAGTTTTGGGTCTTTTATTGGTCCTTTATAAACATAAGCTATACAGAACAATAGAAAAAGGTTTGGACAGGCCAAAAGCCCTGTGTATTAAAGATTACATAGCCGTATCTTAAGATTATTTCCAAGAATTTCTTACAGTAATCGATTTAGAAGTAGATAAATACCTTCCTAACAAATTTCACCAAAAATGCGATTATAGGTTTTCCATTTAGTAAGGAGGTCCAAGTTGTGTATTCTTGACAGCTTACTAAATGTCGTTTAGTTGCAACTTGCAAGGTGCAGTGTGAATTCTAGTGTGATCATGGAAAATTTGGAAGGGCCGCGTAAACGACAAAAAAATCGGTCCTTTAACAGTTAATGAAAAAACATTAATATTTAATTGTTTTAAATCATTTACAGACAAACATTTATGTAAAAGTAAAAGAAGAGAAATGTGGCGAGTTTCATACAGCACGTAAAGCTCCAGAAAAACCAAAATTTCAATTAGAAAATCTTTTGAAAGAAAGACTTCGAAGGGAAGTGCATGCATTCTTCTTTAGAAAATAATTTCCGACAGTAGACAAAGTTCTTGCCACGGTTCGAGATGATAAGGATTACCCTGAAATGAGACGAAGCACACTATGGAAACTTTTAAAAGAAATAGGTTTTCTATGGACAAAGCATTCCAGAAAGTCTATTATAATAGAAAGAAGCGATATTGTAGTATGGAGAAGAAATTACCTAAGGACTATAAAAGAAATGAGAAACCAAAGAAGAAATATATTTTATTTAAGTGAAACATGGATCAACGAGGGACATAAAACAAATAAATTTTGGCAAGATGAAACTGTTACAAGTCGAAGACAGGCTCTTTTAAATAATTTATCTACTGGTTTAAATCCACCATCAGGAAAGGGGCGCAGACTAATAATAGTACACATCGGTAGTTCAAACGGTTTTGTTAAAGGTGGTTTATTGACTTTTGAATCTACTCGTACCGGTGACTACCATGAGGACATGAATGCTGATTTCTTTAAAGAGTGGTTCGAAGAAATTATAGATCTTCTTCCTCAGAACTGTATAATAGTAATGGATAATGCAAGTTATCAGTCGAGACTTATAGAAAAAATGCCCACAACCAAGTGGTTAAAAAAAGATTTACAGATTTGGCTAAATTCAAAGAATATTAAGTTCCATCCCGGTTCTGTGAGAAAAAAACTGTATCATTTGTGGTCCCTTCATAAAGAGAAATTCAAAAAATATGAAATTGCAAAAAATCGTGGGATGACGGTGGTTAGATCACCACCATATCATTGCGAAGTAAACCCGATTGAACTGATATGGGCACAGATAAAGGGACAAGTTTCAAGAAAAAATAATTCTTTTAAAATGAGTGATGTTAAACAGTTGTTTTTGGAGGCTGTAAATAATGTGAAGCCTGAAAACTGGGAAAAGGCAGTAAATCATACGATTAAAGAAGAAGAGAAAATGTGGAAGTTGGACAATATTACTGATAAAATGATCGAGCCACTCATTGTAAATACTGGTTGCGACAGTTCATCTTCTGATTTCGATTCTGATTTGGATTTGTAGGTAAGAAGTAGTTTTTATATTAAAATTATTATTTATGAATGTAACGTTGTTTAAAAGTCAAAGTTTAAACCCTTATACCTACATAACCCGTTTGACACAATGTTCCTAACATACCTTGTGGATAAATAAAACATTTTAGAATAAATTGCACTTTTTTACCTTCAGCTGCTTAGAAGTTATAAGCAGGTTAATTAGGTGAAAATATAAGTGTATACTCGAGGAATAACTTCAAAAAATATTTTAACTGTCTACTAAAAGAAGTGATACGCCTATGGATTACGAACGCTTTATTATTTTAATACTCTCTCATACATAAAAATAGACTATATAAGAAACAAAAAGTTTAGTGCAGTCTTGTTGTAGGCAAATGTTCAAAAATAGAAAATGTGAATTATAATGAATTTGAAACGCTGAATTCCAGATATAAAAGACCCAGTTATGCAAGTTTGACATTATTAAAATGTCAAAAACATTGTCGTCCTTCTCTTTTGTTACAAATCTGTTTATATTTTTATATTTTGCAGAATTTAGCACCAGAGCAACTACATATATAACTTTTTGTAAATGAATAAAACTAACTCTCGATCCAATTCCTTTATCCCAAGAGCATTAAAGCCACTGTTTTAGATTCTCTTATGGTTAGATATATAGATAAAAAATGTTTTACTTTTTTTAAAGATATTCTTAGATAACTTTTGCGTTGCATTGAATTGTATCCCAGCCTCTTAAGTTGAATATAATTGACAGTTGGAAGTTTTAATAACAAAAACAGAAATATTTTGTAAAACAGTGCAATACAATCAAACCTTACATTAAAAAAAGTCACAAATAAAATTTGAATTTCAAACTTTTCCAGTTTTTTTTTTTTTTTTTTCAGAAACTCAACTGATGGCAAAGGCATCTTCAAACCGGAAAGTGGAGAAGACGACAGAGAATCCTGGGACAGCAAGTTGACGTTCCTGTTGGCCACAATCGGTTATGCAGTGGGACTGGGTAACGTGTGGCGGTTTCCTTATCTGGCGCAAAAAAATGGCGGCGGTGCTTTCCTTATACCGTACTTTGTTATGTTGTGTATCGAGGGCATCCCGATCTTCTATTTGGAACTGGCCATTGGACAGAGGTTGAGGAAGGGGGCTATTGGCGTGTGGAATCAGGTTTCTCCATTTTTAGCAGGTAAATGTTTTCTTCTACATTATGTAATTGTATAGGTTTTTGCAGACAAACTACCATTCCTAGTGAGTGTAATAACAATTCATAAAAAAGGCAACAAAAGTGATGATCTATCTGTCTATCTATCTATCTATCTATCTATCTATCTATCTATCTATCTATCTATCTATCTATCTATCTATCTATCTATCTATCTATCTATCTATCTATCTATCTATCTATCTATCTATCTATCTATCTATCTATCTATCTATCTATCTATCTATCTATCTATCTATCTATCTATCTATCTATCTATCTATCTATCTATCTATCTATCTTCTATCTATTATCTATCTATCTATCTATCTATCTATCTGAATTAGGGTGTAGTTCAAAGCCCATTCGCTCTAGGCTTATTGTATCCCTCATAGTTACTACCCCTTCAGATTAATTTTCTTGATGAATTCAAGAATATGTCTGATGGGCGCTTTCGCGATTTCTTCATGTTCTGACAGTGGCATAGTATGTGAATAAGAGTTTCGTCCTCCTCTTCACATATTCTACATAGGAAGTCATCAGATATCCCTAAGAGTCTGTGTAAATCCAAGAAGTTCTAACCAGATCCTTTATCCATATCTTTAGATCAACATGGATTCATGGAAAGTGATCTACCTACGGTCACAAATTTTATTTGTTCCACACAGTTCATATCAGAAGCCTTAAATAGGAGTCAAGTAGATGATGGGATATATACTGACTTCTCTAAAGCTTTCGACAGAATTCATCATGTTATTTTACTTCAGAAGCTTTCCTCCATGGATTTAAGCATTCGTCTATATCTGTTATAGGCTTTTTATTTATAGAACTGACATCAGTATATTCAGTATTGTGGTTATAGATTAGAACAGTTTCGAGTGTTATCGGAAGTTCCCCAGGGATTCATTTTTAACTTCAAGTTTTGCCTTATGAAACTGATATGCAAAAACAACTGGACTGAGTTTGTAAGATTTTTATCCTAAGCTAACCTTCATTAAACATATTGAACAATAATGGTATCTACCAATTAAATCATTTGGTTTGTCATAAGAAGCTGTAAAGAATTCTTCGATATTTCCTATTACAATATCATTCTAAGACTAAGATGATAATAATACACTGTGCGTTCTTTTATAGGCATTGGTATCAGCAGCGCTGTGGTTTCATTCAACGTGGCTCTATACTACAACACCATCATAGCTTGGTGCCTGTTTTACTTTGTGCAGAGTTTCCAAAGCCAGCTTCCTTGGGCAGAATGTCCAAACGTCTATTTTCCTAATGGATCCTATACAATTGAACCAGAATGCGAAGTAAGTCTTTCAAATTGATATAAATGAAAAAAAATTATGTGTATCTTTATTCCAGGTCAGTAGTCCAACACAATTTTTCTGGTACCGGACAACTTTAATAATCTCAGACGATATCAATACACCAGAAAACTTCAACTGGAAAATCGCGTTAGCCCTTTTAATAGCCTGGATATTGGTTTATCTTTGTATGATCAAAGGTATAGCATCGTCAGGAAAAGTGGTGTATGTGACAGCTACATTCCCGTATCTTGTCCTGATTATCTTCTTCTTCCGTGGGATAACTCTGAAAGGTGCTGGCGATGGAATAAGGCATCTCTTCACTCCTACCTGGCATACTATCCTAGATCCAGTCGTTTGGTTGGAAGCAGGGACGCAAATCTTCTTCTCTCTCGGATTGGCATTCGGTGGCCTCATAGCATTCTCTTCGTACAATCCAGTTAACAATAACTGTTACAGAGACGCCATAATGGTTTCTATGACCAACTGTTTCACTTCCATGTTCGCAGGTATCGTAGTTTTTTCAATTATCGGTTTCAAAGCCACCATGACGTACGAACGATGTTTGGATGTTAGGAATGTAACGTTGAGCGAAACGTTTGGGGATTATTTCAATGGCAGCAATCTTCCGGAAGCCGGATCATTAGTCAAGTTTAGTTATGGCGGAGAGATTATCAGCAAAGTGATGCCCGAACTGCCCGTCTGCGATCTTCAAAAAGAATTAGATAAAGTAAGTATATTTGATGAAGTCAATACAGTACCATAGAGCTGTATACCGTGTCATCATTAATTATTTTTTCTTGTTTAGTTTAGGCAGTTTTTGCTTCAATAATAACGGTTTTTTGTCTAACAGATATACCTGTCAAATTGAATATTTAAAAAAATAAATCTACATTATTATATCTGATACAGTATTAAGATATCTTGAATAGCAAAAATTAATATTTGTATTTTCTTTCAGTCTGCCTCAGGGACAGGTCTGGCCTTCATAATTTTCACCGAAGCAATAAACCAATTTCCAGGTGCACAATTCTGGTCTATCCTGTTCTTCCTGATGTTGTTCACGTTAGGCATCGATTCCCAATTCGGAACCCTCGAGGGAGTGGTCACATCGGTAGTGGACATGAAGCTCTTTCCCAATTTACCTAAAGAAATATTGACTGGCAGCCTTTGCGTCGCTTGCTGTATCATTTCGATGGCCTTTGCTCACGGCGCTGGTAGCTACGTTTTTGTGCTGTTCGATAACTTTTGCGGGAATTATCCGTTGTTGATTATAGCTTTTTTCGAATGTATAGCTGTGTCCTACGTATATGGATTAAGAAGGTACTTATTTGTATCAAAAATATTAAACTAATATTGACTATATTTTTATTTTTAGATTTGCAGACGACATAGAAATGATGACAGGCACCCGCCCTGGTCTCTACTGGTTGATCTGCTGGAAATATTTATCTCCTCTAGCCATGATATCAATTTTAGTAGCCAGTTTCATAGAAATAGCAGTAGACGGTACTGGCTACGCGGCTTGGGTGTCGGCAAAAGGAGAAACAGTTCGACAGCCTTGGCCTGTATGGGCTATATTGTTAATTACAGTGTTGGTACTAGCTTCGGTTCTTTGGATACCAGGATGTGCCATTGCTAGGTAAACAAATGTCATCTGTTCTTCTTTTTCAGGATTTCTTTTAACTAGGGTTCTCCTAGTGGTCGAAATTCGACCATAATCTACATCAGGATTTATTTTATCTAGTGTTCTCCATATTCGACCATAATCTTATTGTGTTTTATTTAGGACGTTATATACGTACATTCGATGATTGAAACAACGTTGGATTTATTTAAATATTTAATTCAGAACATCATCCATTTTCTCATTTATAACCGTGACAATTCACAGGCCACCATGCCCGTGACAGATGACCAGTGACAACTTCAGAATTGCCCTGATGCATTTTCTTGTGACACCACAAATCTATATCGAATTTTTAATAATAATAGAAGCTCCACCCCTGCTACAAATGCACATAAAAAATAACTATATTTTAGCACTACAGAGGAAAATTCAAATGGAAAAGAACATGATTAAAAATTTCTGAGTTTTTACGTTTCCAATTCAAAAAAATGAAATGATTAACTTTTTTTAAGGTTATTCGGCTATGTGGTGATCGACGACAACGAAAAGGCTTGGTTCCCGGCTAACGACCTCAAAGACTTCCATGGAATAATGCCGCACGAAGTGTCCACTGCAGAAACTCTACTATTCTGCATCAGATCCGATGGGTCAGAAGGCCTCTGCTGCCCAACAACCTATTCTTATGACGAAGATGAAGAGACTTAAGACAATAATTTCCTAATATCTTTAGACAATAAAAACAAAATCGCAAAATGGACACACAGAGATAAATAATTTGTACGACAGTAAATCAGAGTATTTTAAAGAAGAGTTAATTAGTTTAAATATATACAGGGTGTTTTTAAATTTGCTCCGAAAATATGTAAGTAAAATTAGGTTTTCTTTAACAAACACTTATAAAGAGCAATTAGGAGTATTTTTTTCAGTTTTAACTGAATAATAGGAACGTTTTAACTTATATCTCCTAATGATTCTGCAAGAGAATTGGTGATGGACAATCCATCTACTACGACATTTCCTAGTACAGTTATACGGCTATCGCAGCTAGAAAGACCGACACTGAATTTGGGCGTGAAACTCCAATAAAGTTTCGTTCAGTTCCTTTTGCAAATCATAAATAAAGAGGCCGAAAAAGCTTCTTTATCGACTTAGTAATAACGGAGATATAGGCTTAGGTCCTTTTGGCGATGCTACTGCGTACAGTTTTTCATTGTAAATGATATTTTACATTCAATATACTTTGTCTCATTCTACTCGAACCATCAAGAAAAGAATTCGAACAACATAAAAACGAAAACACTTAACCCTTTAAAACGTCCACGACATTTTTTTCAGAAAGTTTTAATGGAACAGGTATATTCGATATCAACATTTTATTTTGAACAAAACAATGATGTTGTAACAATTACAGAAAAAAATTACATATGTGGACTCAAATGAGTACACTGGGCTTAGGTGTGATATACCGCAAAGCAATCGCGCTCGATGCAAAGAGTAACATTGCATTTTATACAAGCCCATCTCACTCTGCAGTGGCATAAAATACATCTGACCTGCTTCTTAAGTTTTTGTGGAAAGTGCCCTCTTCCACTTTTTCGAATACTCTCAGGAACATTAGCCAAAGGTCTCCTTCTGTTTGTAGTTGATTTTTCAAAAGAACGAAGATAGTAACGCACCACATATTTTTGAAACGATAGCAAGTCCAATGATTGGTTAGGATTTGTTAGTTATGTAATCTCCAAGTATTAACCAAAGCTACATTAAACATATGTGTAAACAGCAACCACCATCATTTTTTGCCACAAATACTAATGCGGTAGTTATTCAAAACGCTGGTTTAACATATCAACTCCACCCATAAAACGATTGTATGTTTGGAAAAGCAAAGGCTCGGACATCTACTTTTGCCTTTTCTAAGCTGGACCAGCGTTTCACTTTATCCAAGGGCTCAACCCGATCATAAGTTGTCCCTATAGTTACGACGCTTTTGTCTTTGCAGCGTACAAAGAGTAGTTTCGATTCGGCGTCGTACCTTACTTCATAACAACCACGTTCCTTCTGTTGAAAGCTTTCTGTTCGGTGAGTGGGCAGCGTCTTATGCGGTTTTCCCTCACGGTTCCTGTAGCACGTTTCTTCTTATCTCGTAAAATAGCCAGAAGTTCATGTCTGGTAAAATAATTATCGAAGAAAACCTTATGATCTGAAGGGACTGCGATAGTATCAAGAAGTTCCAGAACAGCCTTAGACTCCAAAGGAATTGAACTCAATTCTTCTTGGTTATTGAATGTAGTTTTAGCTCCACAGTACGTATAGAATAAACAGCAGTAACCGGAGGCGCTACAAAGCATCCAATCTATACATCCAAATCGTACTAACTTGCTCCTTATGAATTGTTTGGTTGAATGATGACCATAGTAACAGACCATTGCATCGTCAATTGACAACTTATCATGGAAGATCCCCTATTGATTGAAATTATGATTTAGCAAAGACATGAGTGAGCGTAGTTTTGTCTGCCTTATCTATGTTATTGTTGTCGGTCATATGGATATACCTTCTTATATCCAAGAAGCGATTTCTTGACATTGACTCAGTGACAAGTGGCACATGAAGATCTTTATCAAGGCTCCAATAAAGTCTCTCTCGAGGCAATTTATGGTATCCACTGAGTAGCAGCATACCCAAAAATACTTTTATATCAGCCTTAGATACAAAAAAGCTATGATCGTTTTTCTGCGTTAAGTATAAATTTGTTTGTTCTACAATTAGGCTTAGAACATCGTCGTTGATGCTTTTCTCAAAGACCTCAATAGACTCTAGCCTTTCTAGCTCGTGTTTGAGTACATCTTTGTTCAAAAGTGCTCTTGGTGGCGCTCATATCGATGTTTACAATTTGACTTGTCTACTTTGGCTCTGGTTTTTTCAGTGCTTTATCGCGCGGAACCCTTTTTACACTTTTGCTGTGAACTACTTGTACTGCATTCAATCTTTCTGAAAGAGGGATATCATCTTCACTGTCCGAGTCTTCGAAATCATTATAACTTTGATGCCATCAAATTTCCACTTCGCCAGAAATTTCATTGGGAAGTGTATTTTTACTTTGGAGGTCGTCTACCTCAAGATCTTCTTCGTCAGTTTGAGTATCGACTGCAGGGGGAATAATTAGGACGTCAATATCGCCTATGTACTTATTTAGACGAATCTACATATGCGGCAGCTGCAGATAAATTCTTATACCTCTTCTTATAAAATTAGCATGCTGGTATAGTTTGACAATATGTGTCCTTCATGATCAAACTACAAAAAAGGCACACATAAGCATATTTTTATACTCGGGATTTTTGAGGCACATGATAACCCTTGGTACTCAAACGAGTACAACAAAGATTGACATGCATTAGCATACCGACATCTACAGAAACAGGTTTCATTTATTTATTTCAGTATAAAACGAATCTTTGCTTACCTGTTCTGCATACTGGAATCGTTCGATACCACAGCGAGAACGCGTTAAAAATATTTGTGGCAAGCGGAGACAAAAAAATGCGTTTGTAATCGTAATGTTTAGAAACAAGCTCATTAGGCGATAGTAACACAATGAATGTAGTTCCTCAAGCTAACACAGGTCTGTACCAATGTGCACGTGGTACGGATGGGCGTCAAATGCAGTTACCGTCACATGCAATTCGCCAACAGTGCAACATTGATGGAAGTGCTTATTGTACTAAAATGAGTACAACGGGCGCTAATGGCTAATGGAGAACAGAATAGAAAGCAGATATAGGCTTAGTTTCTTTTGACGATGCTGCTGCGCATAATTTTTCGTTATAAATGATATTTTACATTAAATATAGTTTGTTAAATTCTATTCGAATCATTATATACGATAGTATCACGTTCTGATGAGTTACCTGTAAACTTTTTTCGATGGTAATATATCTTAAGGGATTTTCAACGAGGCATTTTCTCCTGATTTTTTTTTTGGCATTGATTTAGACACAACCTGTATGTAAATTTCTCTTAAGTCTAATTTAGCGGTATTTAACTTGATATTAACTATTTAAAATTCAGTTTGGACATAATATTTCGAGTCTAGCATGCAACAATCTGCAACAACTGCAACATTGAGATCAAAAGTGCCGAAGCAGAGTGAGCGAACCGATTCTTTAGTTATAAACTGTGCTGCTGTATTATTAATTATACTGGGATTTGAACGTATATTATTTTTTGCTTTTTAACCGTCATTTTAAATGTACATTTTTGACATGTAGCTCAATTTAATTTCGATGAGTTAATTTTTTTAAACTCCTTTGTATATTGACACGAACTTATACAAGTAGACCTGTTGCACTTTAGATTGGAAATGTTTATTTAAATAAGTCTACTAAATGTAACATATCATCAAAATTAATACATATTATATCGTACTTATCAATCGTAAATAGTTAGCTTACAAAGGAGAAAAAAATTGTTATAATTTGCTAGTTTTTAAGGTAAAAATGAAAATATCATGAAATTGGAATAATAATATTCCATTCATTTCATTGTAAAGTTAAAAAAACGATGAATCTTTTAGTTTTATATCAAAAACTAAATTAACCTGTACAATCAGACTATATAGATATATAAAATAATTCTAAAAAGTGGTAATAATTTAGATAATAAATTAATATAAAAATAATAGAAACTCTGTGTGGCCATTATCATGTATTTCAAAAAAGTTTTCGAATAGTAATGAAAAGGGAATAAATTTGGTTCTCATACTTTTTATAGGAATTGATTATACGAGGAAAACACCGAAACATTGTGCAAAATAAAACATTGTGCCATTATTGAAATGTAGAATTCAGTATTATTTAGTTTTTGAGCATAAAAAAATTCTTAAAATCGGAAATACTTAAATTTTAAAAACTAGGAAATAAGTCAAAATTGTAACCTAACTTTCTTTCTAAATGGAGGGAAGTGTCATACCAATTGTAGTATAACAAGGTGACGTAGGGTTATGGTGAAAAACCTTTTATTATCGGAACAACAAACTAACATATGTATAACTAGGAAACGAATGAACTGATATAATGTAATGAATGTTTATTCGCGTATGAATAGAAGTATTATCTTGTATGTACCCACTGAATAACCAGCTGTAATATGTATGTGTACGTTAAAACCACGTTTGTATGTATGTGTGTAATAAATGCAAGTGTCCGAGTTATCTACCATCTTATTCGATCGCGCTAGACAAACTAAAACAATACGCCATGAACTTCACAGAACACTGTCTCGGTGGGGAACCGTCAAAAGAAGATAACCGTGTTACCACACCAATCATGGTCTTCAAATACAAGGAGATAGTACTGAGATGAATTTACTTCCTCTCTAGATGAATCCTAATCCTAATCTTCGAATACAAGGACATCGCCGTAATGGAAATAAATTTGCTTTCTCTCTAGTCTAGATGGAGGAATTGTCCTGCTAATTCTGATCTTTAATTCACGGACAAAGATGATATTAAGATAAATTTGCTTTCTCTTTAGATGGAAGAAGTTTCCTGATAATTCTGATCCTAAAATACAAAGACAAAGATGGTATTATTAGAAATTTGCTTCATTTTTTAATGGAAGAAATGTCCTGCTAATCTTAATCTTCTAATACAAAAATCAAGATGGTATTGAAATAAATTTCCTTCCTCTTTAGATGAAAGAAGTGTCCTGCTAATCCTAATCTTCGAATACAAGGACATAACTGGTATTGAAATAAATTTTTTTCTCTCTATATGGAGGAAATATCCTAGTAATTCTGATCTTTTAATGCAAGGATAAAGATGATATTGAGATAAACTTACTTCCCCTTTAAATGGAAGAAGTTTTCTGCTAATTCTGATCCTAATAAAGGACAAAGATGATACGATATAAATTTGATTATTCTCTAGATGACTGAAGTGTCCTACTAATCCTGATCTTCTAAAACAAGGAAAAAGATGATAGTAAGATAAATTTGCTTTCTCTCTAGATAGAGAAGGGTCCTGCTGCTAATCCTGATCTTCGAATACAAGGACAAAGACAGTAATGAGAAAAGTTGGTTTCTCTCTAGATGGAAGAAGTGTCCTGCTGCTAATCCTGATCCTAGAATACAAGAACAAAGATAACATGAAATAAATTTGCTTCTTCTCTAGATGAAGGAAGTGTCCTGCTAATCCTGTTCTTCGAATACAAGGAAAAAAATGATATTGAGATATATTTGCTTTCTCTCTAGATGGAAGAAGTGTTCTGTTGCTAATCCTGATCTTCGAATACAAGAACAAAGGTGGTATTAAGAAAAATTTGCTTCCTCTTTAGATGGAGGAAGTTTCCTACTAATCCTGATCCTAGAATACAAAAACTAAGATAACATGAGATAAATTTGCCTCTTATCTAGATGAAGGAAGTGTCCTGGTAATCCTGATCTCTAAATACAAGGAAACAGATGATATTGAGATAAATTTGCTTTCTCTCTAGATGGAAGAAGTGTCTTGCTGCTAATCCTGATGTTCGAATACAAGGACAAAGATGGTATTGAAAATAATTGCTTCCCCGTTAGATGGAGGAAGTTTCCTACTAATTCTGATCCTAGAATATAAGGACAAAGATGACATGAGATAAATTTGCTTGGTCTTTAGATGGAGGAAGTTTCCTGCTAATCCTGATCCTAAAATACCAGGGCAAAGATGATATTGAGATAAATTTGCTTTCTCTCTAGATGGAAGAAGTATCCTGCTAATACTGATGTTCGAATACAAGGAAAAAAATGGTATTAATATAAATATACTTCCTCTTATGGAAATTGGGTTTCTGTCAAATTGTCTGAATTTTTGATATGTTGTAGATTTTGTCATCCTGAACAAAAGACTCCATGGGCACAAAGTGCTAAAATGAATAATTTGGCAGCTACGGAGCTGCCAAAGCTCCACTGACCCGTTGCGAAACTATTCATTTTCAATACTATTTACAGATGTCAAAAGCATATTTTGATTATTATAATATATAGGGTAATATTTTTGAGGTCACTGGATTCAACCCTAATGTCAGATTGGACAAATTGACCGTTGACAGCTGTCAATTCACGGTCAACGAGGAATATAAAAGTAAATATCCTCTTTTCACATTAAGAGTTTGGGTTTTTGAGGTCGTTGACAGTTGACAGCTGTCAACTGTCAATTTGTCCAATCTGACACGAGAATTGAGTTCAGCGACCTCAAAAACTCAAACTCTCAATGTGAAAAGAGGATATTTACTTTTATATTCCTCGTTGACCGTGAATTGACAGCTGTCAACGGTTAATTTGTCCAATCTGACATGAGAATTGAATTCAACGACCTCAAAAACCCAAAAGCATATCTTGATTATTCTAATATATAGGGTAATGTTTTTGAGGCACATACTTTGATTTTCTTTTACTATACGGAGAATGGTCGCACTGCGCAGCTTTCTGAGTGCCTTTTAAAAGGAGATAGAAAACTCCGCCATTTTGAACCCTTATTACGTGTTGCCTACATCTTGGCGCAATATTTTTAATAGGTGCGTTTTAATCATCCGCTTCTGCTTCGGAATTGTCGGTTTTCTTGTTTTAATCTAACAGGTTAAAACGACTAAACCGACAATTCCGGAAGCAGAAGCGGATGATTAAAACGCACCTGATATTTTGCTTGCTGCTGTCAGTGTCAGTGAATATTATTTTTGAAGTCACAGTTTATTGCTAAAGAATCAGTTAGCTCACTCGGACCAGTTGAAAGTTTCAAAATAACATCCACTCCAGGGATACGCAGATACGCGATCTGATTCTTTAGCTGTAAACTGTGTCACAGGGTTCAAAATGGCCGCGCCCTATGTTGGGCGTGTCGGACCTCTCTCTTGCCTCGTATAGTAATCAAAGTATGTGTTTTGAGGTCACTGGGTTTAATTCTCATGTCAGATTGGACAAATTGACCGTTGACAGCTGTCAACGAGGAATATAAAAGTAAATATCCTCTTTTCACATTGAAAGTTTGGGTTTTTGAGGTCGTTGACAGCTGTCAACTGTCAATTTGTCCAATCTGACATGAGAATTGAATCCAGCGACATCAAAAACCCAAACTCTCAATGTGAAAAGAGGATATGTACCTTAATATTCCTCGTTGACAGTGAATTGACAGCTGTCAACGGTTAATTTGTCCAATCTGACATGAGAATTGAATTCAGCGACCTCAAAAACTCAAACTCTCAATGTGAAAAGAGGATATTTACTTTAATATTCCTCGTTGACAGTGAATTGACAGCTGTCAATGGTTAATTTGTCCAATCTGACATGAGGGTTGAATCCAGTGACCTCAAAAACATTACCCTATATCATGGAGGAAAGATATATATATTAGAATAATTAAAATATGCTTTTGACATCTGTAAATAGTATTGAAAATGAATAGTTTTGCAACGGGACAGGGGAGCTTTGGCAGCTCCGTAGCTGCCAAAATATTCATTTTGACGCTTTGTGTCCATGGAGACTTTTGTTCAGGATGACAAAATCTACAACATATCAAAAATTCAGACAATTTGACAGAAACCCAATTTCCATAAGATTATTGCGGGGTCCTTTATTCTATATTGTCATGTGCTTATATTGTTACTTGTCATTAAGTAGTGGGAGTTTTAATGGTTGGCTCTTAATTCGTATTCTTTAATTATTGCCACTATTTTTAGACTTACAGAACCATCTAGGGTTCTGCATTCGATAATAGACACCCCAAAAGTACTTTTTTTGAATTTTGTAAAATGTTTCGGTTGTATCATCGTCCCAAAAAAAAACTTTCTTGAAAAATAAACCAAAAATTTAACAAGTTGGCCTAGTAAGAGTATATATAAAATTTAGTAGTTTTAGTAAATGTAACGAGTATTTGTTTATTTTTTATATAATTTTTAACCCAACGACGGATGACAATAATATCGTTGACAACTGACGCAAGAGTTCGTTGATAATAATTTTTTGAGTTGGATAAACGAAGAACTTGTGATAAAAAAAATGCACAAATGTTTATACTGGTGGACGTATGTTTAAGGTAGTGAAAGATTAAAAAAAATTCAAAAAATATGATAGAGTTAAAAATACTCTTTGATGTTAACTAATCTTCAAGCTGTCAAACTTATCGGTCAATTCAAGCGGTTCATATCTAATTTATCTCATATATAGGTATCTTACAGATGTATAAAAACAAAAACTTGGCCAGAATTACATACCAAGTAAATATTAATGTACCTAGTATGTAGGTACCAGATATCATGTTTTTTGCAATCATAACTGTTATTTTCTACTACATACAGAGTGTTTCAAAAGTTAAGACATTATTTTTAATATGTGTTCATTTAAATAGTGGTGTTTCCAAACCAAACGAAAAAGTAGTTTGTTTCATCAAATTTTTTATCCCATTATATGAAACACCTTGTATACCGAAATTATATTAGTGTCCTTTAAGCACAAGAACAAAAATAATAAACTGTAGTAGATAATTTGTAGGTATAATCAATATTTAACATACATTTGTTATAATTTTACATATCATTTAAAAAATACTCTCCACCACATATCTTACAACATATTGAATCGTTTTATTATCAAAAATACTCGAGATTTCTAAAATCACATTCCAAATGTATATCGGATAATTTTTTATTCATATTGATGTACATTCAATTGTCCATTATTATTTACAAAAATGAAAAGTATGCATGTCAATGTCTTTAACTTAAAAAATACATTATACCATTTTGACATGTCTTAGAATCATTAACTTTAATTTTGTTACATTATCATTTACATAAAACAAGAATAGTAAGGGTCTTAGATTGGATACTTGTGGAATCCCTTACTGGTAGATGATTTATATTATTTTAAACATTGGGTTCTTTTTGTTAATTATTACGAATAAAAATAATACATATTTATATGCCAATTTCCGCACCATGGTAGTATTGGTGAATGGTGATTTGATCAACCCAGTTAAAGGCGTTCGAGAGATCTATGTAATCAAAATCCGCAGAAATGTTATAAAGTATCTTGATTAGCATAAATTCTGCATAATAGGAAAATTTGATTTAAAATATAGATTGCCAGTGTTGCCATATTTCTCCAAAAATATGTGGTATATATAATTTTATAGAAATACACACTGCCATGCATACTTTTGTAACATTTGCCATTACATTAGTCAATTTTAACAAATTATAATATTAACAATAATAATAATAATTTTAGACAATAATAATTATATTAGAAATTAAGAATCTATACATATATAAATATATATAATATACACGTGTTATTAAATTCACTATAAATATGTAAAATAGACAATTGTGTTAAATTTTTGACAATAAAAATGAAACTGCTCTAATTGTTGATAGTTGTAATGTTTAAGTTAATTTTATTGATTATATTCTGATAAAATGTTGTACATAGCTCTGTTACTAGATGGAATAAAGCATCAGTGTTTAATTTTTTGTTTCATTTTATTCTATAATACAGGGTGATTTAAAATTGAATCCAAAGATTTTTAGAGTGTATTAACCAGCCAAAAATAAGAAATTTTTTTCATATAATCGTATGTCCTAACTTGTTTCGTTTTCTAGATACAGGGTGTCAAAGTTTTTTAAAACAAAACGGTTTTTTAACAATTATTATTTGGCAATAGAATAATTTTACCTATAAGTATCAAGTATGTAGCTCTCTGAGACGCCATTGGAATTAATAAATTTATTTTGTAATCACCAAAGAAAGGCCCTTATGACGACAAATAGGCCTACCAAATTTTATTTAAATCGGCTGAAAGGTTTTTGAGTAATTGATAAAAACCGATTTGTTTTTAAAACTTTGACACCCTGTATCTATAAAACGAAGTTAGGACATAAATAAGTCAATAGAGTTTTAGTTTTAGTAAACAAAATGCAATAAACTAATAAACCCATAGACAAGAGAAGTAGAAAATAGAAAAATAGAAGTTAATATACAGTGTGTCTACTTAAGTTGGAATCATATGGAAAAAATTATTATTGATTTTAGGAAGAAAAGTCATTCCTGATAAAAATTCCTGCATGACCCCGAACTTAAAATACAGTCATCAGATATCAAATTTTTCTAACCGTATACGAGGTTTGTCAAAAAATATGAATTTTGCTCAAGAGTAAAGTACGTTTATTTTTGACAAAATCGAAAATTTTCATTAAGAAAAGTTGATTAGAATTGAAAATTGCATTCAAATATGCAATTACACTGATCTATCTGAAAAATCAGATTTTTTTCTAGATTTTGTATTGATCCACCTAATTACGGTAATCCATATTTTTTTTCACTCACTTCTCTACTATAAACATGATATGCTTTCCTTTTCTTAATGTTTGTGAAGAATTTAGCAATTTTCTTAATGAAAATTTTCGGCCGAAGATTTGAAATTTATTACCACTGAAATTGAAAAACTTCTTTCAAATGGCATAATAGAAGAAAGTAATTCACCCTGGCGTGCACAAGTTTTAATAACAAAAAGTGAAACTCACAAGAAAGAAATGGTGGTAGATTACTCCCAAAGTATCAACAGATTTACCCATCCTCTACCCAATATAGAAGATATAGTCTGTACTGTTGCACAATTTCAAGTATTTAGTACAATTGATCTACAAAGTGCATATCACCAGGTACCAATCCGAGAAAATGAGAAGATTTTTACTGTTTTTGAGGCAAATAGTAAATTTCTAAGAATTCCGTTTGGTATAACG